CACACACACACACACACACACACACACACACACACACACACACACGAGAGAGAGAGAGAGAGAGGAGAGAGACTTTTTAAAAAAAGATCTCTTTCCCAATGCAGCAAAGAACCCAGCAAAGAGGCCCCTGGTTTCAGTGTGTGTGCAAGGGGTGTGGGGGGAGAAGAAAGAGGGGGAGGGAAGAGTGCCGAATGGATATTAAGATTGTTTGCAGCACAAAGAAAACACAGTTTTAAAAGAGAAAAAAGAAAACCATGCAGCTGATGATGGTAAAAGAAGAGCAGCTCATTAAGCACAAGGCAAAGAGGGGCAAAAATGAAGGCAAGAGGCAGTGGGAAAAGTTCACCGATGTACGAGGATAAAAATAACAAAACCCATAACAAGGCCCCACAAGTGAACAACAACAACAAAACACCACCTCGTGGGTCCCCCCTTGCACACTCTTGTCTATTTCGGTTTTGAAAGAAACAGGAACCAAGCAGCTTTGAAAAAGAAGAAAATTGAAAGAAAGAAAGAAAGAAAAAAAAACCTTATCTCTTCACCTGACCCTCCTCCTCAGACCCAGACCTAAGGGAGAGCTCCACCGTCCGCAACGCAAAACTGTGGCTCCCTCTCCCGCTCGGCTCGCAGCCCCCCGAGCTCCCGCTCCATCCCTGAAGCGCGGCCGCGGAGGGCCGGGGCCGGCGGGCGGGCGGGCGGCGCGGCGCCCACACCCCCGACCCAGCCGCAGCGCGCACGGTCCATTGTAAACAAGCCCGGGGGACGGAACCCCTCGGCAGCGGCGCCACAGCTGCAGCCCCGGTGTCAGGAGTGAGACCCCCGCACAGCCACACTCGGCTCGCACACACGGACACACACACACGCACGGACACACGCGTTCACACGCGTTCACACGCATCCACACGCTCCCACACACATGTAGAGACCGAAGAATATTCACCTTGGCTGTGGATTATTGTGGTGTTGTTGGTGGGTGATGGAGATGGTGGTGGTGGGGAGGAGGAGGAGGAAGAGGAGGAGGAGGAGGAGAGGAGTAGTTGTTGTTGATGGGTAACAGTCGCCAGGACTACGGTGACTATGGCGCTTGATTCACAAGGCAACGGTTGCTATAACTCACAAAAGAGAGAGAGAGGGAGAGAGAGAGGGAGCGAGAGGGAGAGGGAGACACTCACACGGGGAGGGGTGGGGGAGGGAAGAGGGGAGGAGGCGGGCCCGGCTAGCGGCCGGAAGGGGCGGGCTCAGTACCGTGACTGACAGCCCCCGAACCGGGTTGGGCTGGGCGCGAGGCCGGGGTTCCGGGGAAGGGTTCCGAAGGGACGCGCTAAGTTTGGCAGGGGCTGAGGTCACCCCAGGGTCCCCTCGGGGGTACGGTACTACACGCCCTGGCGAGGCTGGCGGAGGAATTGAGGGCCGTGGTGCGAGGTATACTTTCTGTGAAACGAGAGCTGCCAGTCGCAGCAACCAGCTCAGTGCCCAAAAGCCTCAGAGCCGGGAGAAGGTAACAGCTAACCCACGAGAGGGGGTGTCGAGGGCGATTCCAGACACCTTGTCTAAACGACGAGCTACAGCAGAGGAAGAATCCACTTTGAAGAGTGGCTCCGCCCCCGGCAGAAACGTCATTTCCGGGGCGGGGCGGGCGGAGGGTCCCGGATGTGCCGCCGCTCTCTTTTTTTTCTTTTTTCCTTTTCCCCTTGCCCGTGCCCCCCACCCGCCCCGTTTCTGAGGCGCCGGCGGTGTTCCCCGTCGTAGTCGTCTGCGGGCTTCTAGCATGTCGAGACGCTTCGTGGCGGCGGGGAATGGACGGTCCGCGCCGCCTTTGCGCTCCTGCTTTCCGCGTCCCGGCCCGCTCCCGCCTCCTGAGGCCGCGATTCGGAGGCGGGCGGGCGGGCGGCGGGGTGTGAGCGTGCTGCCTCCGCCGCCATCTTAGAGCAGGCGAGCGCGGGGCGCGTATGGGCAGCGCGCAGGCCTCCCGCGGTCCCGCCGCGGCGTGGCGCGCACCGGGAAGGTCCGAGCTTGTTCGGCCCTCACTCCGGAGCGAAGAGGCGAAGTCCTGACTCCCTATCTACAGGGCGGGGAGTAAGCGCTACTAAGGAGCAAGAAATCGCCCTCTCCGGGGACTCGAAAACGCATGGCGGCCCCCCTCCGGGAAAGGCGTTGGGAGGTGGGGTAACTTACACCTGCCTGACATAGCACCCAGTTAGTTCCTAGTTCCTGTCATCCTCAGCCCTCGCGTGAAGTGCTCGTCCCTATTAAAAGTTGACGAAACCAGGATGTGAGCTCACCCCCGTGTCCTGTTACTTGCCTCGTCCTGGTCCCCGGTTACCTAACAACCTGCTGTATCTGAGGGTCTTGCTGCTTCCGGGTGTATTGAGATAGACGAATGGGTTAACATTGGTGATGGATGTTGTTAGCACGCAACTGGCTATCTCGAACACCCGTTGGTATCGAATAGCCTCTAATGCCTCACGGTTCAAACATACTCGTCCAGTTCTCTGCAGACTGGAGTCCTGCAGGAACATGCCCCCAGGCCCTGTCAATATCCCAAACCAACACACGCAGCTAAGCTGCTTATCTGGGACAATAACTTGGATATTAGAGCATTAGGAAATCAGTTCTCCTCTTGAGGCTTAATTTTTGCACCTGCAAAATAGGGGTTTGGGGCTTGCTGAAATAAGAATAGCCACCGTTCCTGAGGTCTTTTACTGCCCCAGACATTGTGCTTAGTGTTTTACGTACATTATCTCATTTAATCCTCACGACACCACTATTAGATACATAATACTCTCATTTTGGAGAAGGCACAGAGTCTTAAACGTCAGTCGTTTTATTTTACGGCTCTGTATCATGGAGTATTAGAGGGGTATTTTAGGAACCAGCTAGTTAAACAATAGATTCAAGAAAGCAATGTGGCCTTTGGTAATCTCATAATGAGTTATAGAGGTTCTTATAATAATGTGTTACAATGTAATAGTGAACAGTGTGGAGCACAGTGCTAAAACGTAAAGGTTTCATGGCGCACCATGGTAGTAGGCCCTTCCAGACCGAGACAGATGACAGTGTGGTGACCAACAGCAGTTAAAACTCTTCAGATTTAGAATAATAGTTTCCACATACACATGGGAAATAAAGTATGCATTCCAGCTGTCTAAAAACTGGTAGTCATTATGAATAGTCACTTAATTACATTTACAGATAAAGTCCTCTATTCCTGTAATGGTGTGCGGGGCTGTTTGCTCACACTACACAGCTCTGAATAGCTTTGCTTTTTTAGTTCTATTGTCTGTTATAGTTTGCCCATCCCTTCCCTCACTGTCAGCTGTTGCTTCTTACTGCTGTTAGTGAGCATAGTTCTATTATCCTCCCCACCCTTTTAATTTACTGCTTATAATCTGCAGGCCAGAAAACCACACAATGAAAAGCTGTATCTCAAGAGTCCTTTGAGGAACTCTCCTTTAGAAAAAGTGTGTGACCTTTGTGCGGGGACACTGTAACATCGGTTTGAAGCTGCTTAGAGACATTTTTTTTTTACCTACGTCCTCATTTGGCCTTTTTCTGAGTTAGTTATAAATAATTATTTTAAATGAGTTCTTTAAAAGTTAGGATTTAGAATATTTCTCCCTGTTTTAGGATAATTGATAGTATTCTAATCATAGTGAGGTTACTATAATATGAATTTTTCAATGTTACCTTCACACCGAATCAAATAACCAAGCTACCAATTCAAGCTGTAGATTTGGAAACACGATTATATATGCATGTTTTGTGTTATAACTAGTTAGGAAAGGTCCCAGAAATCCCTTTGCCTATAGTCATTTTTGATAGGATCTCCGTTGTGGTCATTTACAGTTGCATCTTCACATGTGTTGTACATATATTTCAGAAATAAATTATTTGTTAAGTCACAGAAAAGACCCAGCAGTGTGTCTAACATTTTATCACCTGTTACAGTGATAACACACTGGACTCAAAAAGTGCCTAACCAAAAAATATCTTACATTGCTTGACAAATTCAATAAACTGCCAGTGCAGTTATTATTTGTCCAGTATCTAAAATGGGCCAGACATAGTTCCTGTCTGTAAAATGCTCACAGTCAATATCTGTGAATTTAAAATGCTATGTCCTTTGAACTTGGATTGTTTTTGCTCTCAGCTTGGAATGAATGGCAGAGACATCGATTAACACATTTGTATCTGAACCACTTGAAAAATAGGAAGCCCTGATTATGTGTGGATTATATACTTTATAAATTACTTCAGTACATTCTCAAGGGTAAATTTCCTCTTCAATATTATCTATTAGGTTATTTCCTCCTATTGATATCTACAGCATAATCAAGAACTAATACATTACTTTAACAATGCTTATAAAAGGAAAAGCTGAATACAGAAAGATAAAATACTGTTACGTGATAGGTTTACTTCCAAAAAATTGTATGTATGAGAGTTTTAAAAATTAATGAATTGGGACATCCCTGGTGGCGCAGTGGTTAAGAATCCGCCTGCCAGTGCAAGGGACACGGGTTCAAGCCCTGGTCCGGGAAGATCCTACATGCCACGGAGCAACTAAGCCTGTGCACCACAACTACTGAACCTGCGCTCTAGAGCCTGTGAGCCACAACTGCTGAAGCCCACGCACCTAGAGCCCGTGCTCCGCAACAAGAGAAGCCACCGCAATGAGAAGCCTGCACACCGCAACGAAGAGTAACCCCCGCTCGTCTCAACTAGAGAAAACCTGTGCACAGCAAGGAAGACCCAATGCAGCCTAAATAAATAAATAAATAAATTTATTTTTTAAAATATAATGAATTGGTCTGCGGCAGCTTACCACTGAATTTGTGGTGAATCCTTTTATAAAGCAGAAATCACTCCTGTTTAAAATTTTTTCACTTGATTATAATATCTGATTTTCTTCAATTGAGAGACACCTAGAGTCTTAGTTCTCCTATGGAAATGAATTGTTTCAGTTCAGCCAATATTTATTGAATATGATACGTATAGCACTGGGAGATTAGACTACTGGATTACTAGCTGCCTTTACTATCAATAGATCTGTAGTTCTGTGGCTATATGATAATAATCAATAATAATAGAGGGTGATAGAGGCCAAGGTAATTCAAAACTACATAATTTGCCACTATTCTCTGGAGCACTCCTAACTCTACCCATTCCCACCCAAAGTACATTTTGGTTTTGAAAATATTGCGTTATTTTTTTTTCTGGTAGATTTATCTTTCTAATTGTGTTTTCTTTAAGTAATACAAACCAACTGTTTACTCAGCAGTCCTGAGAGATGTCTATCCTTATATATAACCTGGAATTAAATTTTTACCCCAGCAATGAAAGATGATAATAGAATCATAAGTAGACTATCTTTTCTTAAGATCAAAATATCTTTTGATATACACATGCAGCTTTTTCACTTCAATTAATGCAGAATCTCAATACAGTATTTGCAGCATTAAAATCAAATAATTGGGAACAACCCAAATAGCTATCAGTAGGAAGATGGAAGCACAAATTGTGATACATTCATGCAATGGAATACTATTAGACAATTAAAAGGAACTGACTAATGATACACATGGATGCATCTCAAAAACGTTATGTTCAGCAAAAGAAGCCAGGTACAAAGAGTATATACTGTATGAATCCATTTATGTAAAGTCCAAAACAGAAAAAACTAAACTGTATTTAGTGTTTCCCTATGATGCCTGGGGCAATTAGGTGGGATTTAATGGAAAGGTGCTTGAAGGAACTATCTAGGGTGATGGAAATGTTCTGCACTGTCCAACTTGGTAGCCACTAGCTAAAAATTAAAATCTAATTGTAAATTAATTAAAATTAAATGAAATTTATAATTCAGGTCTGTAGTCACAGTAGTTACATTAAGTGCTCCGTAGCCACATGCAGCTAGTGGCCACCAAATGGGACAGTGCAGATTTAGACCATTTCTATTATTGCAGAAGTTCTACTAGAAAGTGCTGTTCTAGATCTTGTTTTAGGTAGTAAAGTGTATTACGGTTGTCAAAATCGTAATACAATGCACATTATATCTATGCGTTATATGTCAATAATACTTGTCCCCAAGCCCCAGAAAACACTAATAGAAGTATTTATTGCTGTATTACATACCTAATTAACCACTTTTTCCTTAATATTTTTATTCAACACTACAGAGAAAAGGACAAATAATAGGTAGTAAAATTATCCTTGGCAAATTTTCAAAAATGTAATATGTGTGACTGAACGGTAGATAATGTTGGTTTGCTGCTCACAGAAATGAGTTCTGCCACTTTATAATCTTTAATACAATTAGAAACCAAAGGAATTGCTTTTGAAGGCTTAAA